TAACCCAGCAGAGCTGTGACAGAACAGACAAGAAGAGCAGCAGGGGGAGTGCCCTGTCACCACAAGCTGGATCCCAGGGCCACAGCATCACCCCTCCACACCCCACACCACTGCCCACACCAACAGGCAGCGGTGCCCACAAGGCTGTCTCACCTTGCTGGGGCCTTGTCTGCCTCGATCTCCTCCAGCTTCGTGTAGATCTCTGACAGCCTGGCACCTTCTGTCCCTTCTCCCCTAGGGCAGGACGGAGAGGAGCATATGGGACTGATCAAGGTTGGGGTTTGGGTGCTGACAGAGGCTGATCTCCCCAGGCAAGAGGCAGCCCAGCCTTGCTGGAGCCCTCCCTTTGAAGGGAGAGACCTCAGAACGAGATCTCACGGTCCAGAAGCCACAGAAGGGCTGGAAACCCAGCGGCAGCACCTCACCTGCCAGCATTAATCTTAGCGGTCAGGGCCCTCTCCTCCCGCAGCAGGCTCTCGCGCGTGGTATCACACTCCAGCACACTCTGCAGCGCCGGCGTCTCGTCCCCCGCCACCTCCTGCTCCACGTGGAGGATGCTGATGTGCGAGGGGATGCGCAGGCTCCGGCTGGCGATCATCTTCAGCAGCGTGGTCTTGCCCAGCCCGTTCCTGCCCACCAGCCCGTAGCGCCGACCAAAGGCCAGGTTGAGGTCTGCTCCCGCCAGCAGGACCCTGAAGTGAGAGGACGGGCAGGTCGGGGCTGCCCCACGGGGAGGGAAATACCGGCAGCCATCTGCCCCAAGCACATTCCAGGCTGTGCTGGGGCCATCACAGACTTCTCCTGCCCAAAGCCAAGAGGGTCAGGCGCCCTCCTTCCTTCCTCACCCTTCCCCTGCCCGCTGCCATTTCCCAGCCGCTCTCCGGGCCGGTCGCAGTGACCCACAGGCCAAGGCCCAGCCAAGATCTGTCCCACCTCCCCGCCCGCACTCACCGCTCACCGAAGGACACATCGAAGTTCTCGATGCGCACATCGTATGACTTGTTCTTGCCTGATGACTCCATGCGAGTCTCCTTCTTGCTGGCAGCCTGGCTGGCGGACGCCTCCTCAAGGACCCTGAGGGCAGGCAGAAGACAGAGGAGGGGGCTCAACAGGAAAGCTCTGGTACGGCCAGACCCCAGCCACACTCAGCAGAGCGGGATGGGGATGTTTGAGGCAGCCTCCGTACTCACAGAGGCCCAGATGTCTTCAGGGAATCCCGCTCCATCCTCTTGTCCTGCTTGGCTTTCAGCCTGGCTTCTGCCTTCTCCAGTTTCTTGGCATTCACCATCTGGAGCACAAAGCAGAGTTTAAAGAAGAGAGAGCATCTTCAGCAAAAGCCCAACTCCAGGAGAGAACAATCAACCCCTCACACCTGGAAGGAAGGGAGAGAGGGAGGGAGGTAGGACAGGGGAGCCGGGACAGATTCAAGCACATTTTGAAGAAGCTGATCTGGCCAGGAAATCACTTCAGGTGCAAGTCCTGAATCAGCTGCTCACACACAGAAGTTCTGCCTCAACAGGGCAGAGGGTTTGGCTGACCCTGACACGCGGCCAGTTGCTCTAGTTCCCGGGAGCCAAGTCACTTCAACAGCGGCAACCTGCCACCCCAGGGCCTCCTCCGCTGGACCCGACACCCACCCTCCTCCTGGACCACCAGGCATTTTAACTTTAGCCAGTGTGGAACAAACTCCGCTTATGCAGTGGATCAATCAAGACAGAGACAAAAAGCATTTAATTAAACCTGAAGGCAAGAAGAAGCCAAACGTTTTAACCCGGCCTCTGGTCTTGGCCAGGCTCTCAGCCCACTCCAGCTCATTCCTGCGTCAAGTCAAATATTTGTGGCTGACCAAAAACACTCCTAGATCTTCCTAGGCAACTCCACAGCCACCAGAGCACGGTGCAGACCTGCACACTAGACTGAAGAGCATCTTGTTACTGTAGCTGCAACCCCGTACCTACAGACAGACTGAGTCACTCTGTAAACTACACCCAGATCCCTGAGTCTCCCCGTAAGACATGTCCTCCAGAACTTCAGAGGCTTCCTGAGGTCTTCTCTGAATCATCTCCAATTTTTCTGAAGATCCTTTCTGAGTTGTGGACACAGGAGCCAGAGAGCAAACCCAGCAGCAGCAACTCCAGTGCCAAAACCAGCAACAGCTGCCAACTCTCGCTTAAGACTCCCTTTCAGACACGCGGGGACCGTGTTAGGTCCCGGCCTCCAGGTGAGGGGTTCTCATCCTCTGCACGTTACCCCAGGAAGGGAAAGCTCTATGAGACACCAGCCTGGCAGAGAGACTGTCCACTCTGTCCTTGCTCTGCAGACGCACAACCGCCTCTCCCCAAGCTCAGACTTTGGCAGGTCCAGCGCAGAGGGAAAGCCAGGTCCCCCCCTGAGCAGCTAAGCGTGTCATCAGCAAAGATGTTCCGACTTCCTTCAGATCACAGAGCGTAACCGCTTCCAGACTTCTCCACTCCTCATCCTATTTCTCAAACCACGACAACCCGCAGCCATTTTCAAAGCTGGGCATACAACCTCCCCACAGCAACTCTGGAAAACAGCTGCTCTGCGCTAACTCCCCACCCATAACATGCAGCATCTAACCATTAGCCAGGATTTTATCTCCCATTGCATATGGTAAGACTTCACCCTGGTACACCCTAATTCCTCAATCAAAGGCCTCACTGTAGAGGCCAAAGGTTCTTGTGAAAGTCATAGAAGCTGCACTCTGAACACCACCAACTGCATCAACCACGCTTTTATTAAGAAGTTATAGCAAAACAGAACTTATCAAATTAATAAGCCATTAACTCCTGTTGAGTCTCTTCACCAGAGCCAGGTCATGAGTTTCCCAAAATGCAGTGAACCTGAGGAGGAGGAACAGCTCCCCCGCAGCTGTGTCCCTACCCATGACAACCACCCGTCCGGGCTGCCCCCCGAGGGCGAGGTGGCTGGAGCAGGTGGGACACCTGCAGCCCCAGGCGTCTGTGGGCTTAAGAAGGCAGGCAGGGTCCCCACTCACCGAGGTCTGTCCCCTCTTCAGCAGCAGCCCCGGCAGCAGGTCCACACCGGCATCTGCTGCAACGAGAGAGTGGGGTTGGGTTGGTGGCCCCACGCTCCAGGGAGACCCCACCAAGAGGTGCCTTAAGGGCTGCCCATGACAGGCAGGACTGTCCCCTCTCCCAGTGGGACCAAAGGGCGGCTCCTCTCCTTCCACCCTCGCTCGTCCTGCGGGGAGCCAGGTGCTGCTGGCCATGGCTCAGCAGCAGGGAGAGAACACGGGGTGCAGCTGCCAGGGGGAGCCCGTGGCGTGCAGGGAAAGGCTCCCCGAGGTCAGGCAAGCGCACACGGAGCGCCCTGGGCCCGTCCTGGCCGCCGGCACGACAGCGGGACGGGAGCAGCGGCGGGGGGCTGGCGTGTGGCTGGAGGTCTCTGGTGGGTGCCACTCACCGTACCCGTCGGTGATCTGGGAGAGCTGGATGGGGGCATCCAGCAGCACCTGGCTGCAGCGCTGCGCCCGGCCCTCGTCCCTGCGGGAGAAGAGGAGCAGAAGGGTGACAGGGGCCGGGGGGCGAGGGGCCCGAGGGTGCCGGGGGGGCCCTTACAGCTGCAGGGTGTTGAAGAGGCGCTGGCAGATCTCCCTGATGGCGCCCTCGTCCTTGGCGTCCTGCGACACCTCCCGCAGCAGCTCCCCCACCGCCTCCACCAGCTCATCCACCGACTCGAAGTCGGCCCCGCCGTCGTGCAGGATCCCTGCGGGCACACGGACACGGCCATGCGCACCCCGCCGCTGTCGCGACGTTCGGCCGCCTGTCGCGACGCGGCCGGCAGGGGGCACGCGCCCGCCCCCCTTCCCCGGCCGCCTG